ATGTGTGTATGTGTGTATGTATATATGTGTATATGCACATGAGAGAGAGAGAGAGAGAGAGGTGAGAGATGGGATTTATTAGAATGACTTACAGACCACAGACCAGAAAATCCAACAATGGCTGGATGTGAATGTTGTCTAAGAACCTAGGACTTGCTCAGTCTATAAGGCTGGGTGTCTCAGCTGGTCTTCAGCATATGCTGGGATCCCAAAGATGTGGGCTCTAATGCCAGCAAAATGAGGGCAAGCATGCAAATAATAGAAGCTCCCTTCTTCCATGTCCTTATGCAGGCGTGTCTTCCTGCCTCGTGATCCCAATTAAAGGCATGGGTCTTCCTGACTCGAGATCCAAACCAAAGGCGTGTGTCTTCCTACCTCAAAAGCCATCTCTTCCAAAGGAAATACATGACCATGGGTGCTGCCCAAAGCCCTGCCCACTGTGAAGATTTCTCTTCACCATCTTTCAGGGTTGCCCCGGAAATGGGTTGCGATGCCGTCCACTTCTGAGTGGTGCCTGCATAACATACAGAACCATCAGTAAACCAGGCCCTAGTGTGCTTTTCCTCAATCAACAGAGATAGGGAACACCCCAGGAGGCTATAGGTGCATGCTTGGCAGCAGACAGCGCTGTAATGGAGTAGAAACCATAGGCACTCGGTAAACTTACTCATGTGTTTGAATGCTTAGCACACACGAAGTGGCACTATTAGAGGATGTGGCCTTGTTGGAGTAGATGTGGCCTTGATGAAAGAAGTGTTGTCACTGAGGAGCTTTGGAATCTCATATATGCTCAAGCCACACCCAGTATGACAGCCTGATGCCTGCATATCAACATGTAAAATTCAGCTTCTCCAGCTCTGTATCTCCCATGTCTCACCATGATGGTAACGGACTAAGCCTCTGAAACTGTAAGCCAGCCCCAATTAAATGTTTTCCTTTATAAAAGTTGCTTTAGTCATGGTGTCTCTGCACAGCAACATAACCCTAAGACCCTAACCATAATAGCCCTCGCTCCACAAGGAACCAATATGAGAATTCTTCCAACTTTTAAGTATAGGTACCTATCCCAATTATACATTCGGATTGAGAAAAGAAAAAAGAAAAAAATAGTGTTTGGGGACCTTCAGAACCTACCTACTGTGAGTCAAAGTTCAGGCAAAATTCTATTAATCACCTGACCTCCTATAGTTATATTATTATTTTCCTACACTTTAACTGGAGGAACCAGTATCCAACAGACTTCAGAAAGTCTGATTGTTTCATTATCCCCAGTGTATAATGACCCTTGTAAAAGGCTGTAGGTCCCCTTGGGGAAGGACTGGAGAAAGGCTAACAGTAAAACTTTTCAGGAGTTTTATCAAGGTCTTTCCTCAGGGGAACCTGGTCGCCCATTCATTCGAGGGGTCTGGGTCTGCAAACTGGCTCAAGTCTGGAAACTGATTCACTTTTCTTTCATTTGCTTGAGAATTTTTCCACTTCTACAGACCAAACAGAAATTCAGTAGGCTTCTTGTCTATCTCATGCCTAGAAACGCCGTGATTAACTAGCCGGTACCAAAAGCCCACACAAGTCATGCCGCCATAAAATTCACTTTGCCGGTGCTGACCATTATGGGTTAGGCAATTCTGGACACTGCTTTGTCTATACTCCCATCATGATAACTACGATCACCCTGTCCCTGGCAATTCAGGCTTGCCACCTGGCCCCTGCTACCTCAGGCTCAAATAAACTCATTGTATTTAATTTGCCCAACTGAGCAGCAGCATCTCCAACCCTAAGGTCTGGCACAAAGAAAAGGATGGCAACAAAACGCTTCAAATATGCTGGCACCCTCTCACCAGTTTGCATCTTATAGGAAGAGTGAAGGGCATGCATCTGGGCCTTCCCATTGCGGAGGATTAGGTTTTACACTCCCATTAGCCACTCCCATTGCAATTCCCCAGAGCCTTACAATCCCTTCGTCAACACTAAACCAGGGGATATAAGGCATCTCCAACTCCTTTTGACAAATGCTTCAGCCAACTATTCAGACAAACTTTTGACACATTTTTTTTTAACTGTGTGAGCTTCCATATTAAAGCTAGAATCCCTACTCAGAGGGCCTATACCAATAAACTAAGCCCAGTTTTATGTTCCTTCCACCATAATCCCCAGACTTCTACTTGAAGGAATTAACAAATTTATAAGGTCTCTAGTAGTGTAGCACCCCTTCTCATGAACTACACTTCCTACCTCCCTCTAGAAGCCTGCTTTGCCTTAAGTCTGGTTATTTAGCTCTGAAGGCAACTATTGGTGTGCCCTGAGGGACATCAGTATTGTCTGACATTTCCTTCCGAGAAAGGCACTGCTGGTTTACCAGGCGTGACATTAATTTCCTCAGTCAAAGGTGAAAAGGGCAAAGTCTCAAGCAGTGGGACTGAGGGTACCACTTCCTCAGACAAGACAAACCCTTGAAAATCTGAGGGTTCAAGGTTCTCTGTTTCAAAGGGCTTCTCCCAGGCAACCCCAACCCCAGTTCTAGTATCCCACTCTTTACCAATTAATGCACTTACTTTACCTGCCAATGCACTCTAAGGCTGAGACCTGAATTTTGCTATAACTCAGCCAACCTTATAATGAGAGCTTGGTTTGATTTTCTATAGTTCAAGCTTTGTGGCTGCCAGAGAGAAGATTCTCTTTCAGGACAAACTTAGAATATTTTAGACTGTTTAGGCACATTTGGAGCCACTCAATTTTATCACTAAGTCCATTGTGGCCCTTCACTATATTCTGAGATGCCAGACATTGATTAATTTTATCATGGGCTCCTTCCTATTCTCTATCAATTTATCCAGAGATGCTAAGAGCAACCAACCAGCAGTATAATTTCCCTTATTTCCCCCTTCTGGCATGTAGACTTACATGCAGACAGAATACTTCATACATATTTCTAACAATTCTAAGGGGTTGGTAAAATAGAGTGATTTCTTTTACCCCATGAATCAAAGGCCTTCTCTTTTTGATTAGAGTATATGAATCTACTTTTTACTTTATAAACATTGCTTTTGGTTTACGGATTCCAGGAGAAAATTCGAAGAATAGAATGGGTAAGGCATAGTCTGTATAAATTAAATGGCCCAGGGTGTATTGTGCATGTATGTGTGTACATGCATCTATATGTATGTGTGCATAAGTGTGTGTGTGTGTGCTTAGCTGTGTGTATGCTTGTATAAGTGTGTGTATGCATGTATGTGGTATGTGTGTATAAGTGTGTGTATGCATGTATGTGTGTATAAGTGTATCTATGTATATGTATGTTTAAATGTATGTATGCATGTGTATGTGTGTATGTTGATCAAAGGATTGCATTGTATTAATCACAGTTCTCTAGAGTAGACAACTTATAGAATGAGTGTGTGTGTGTGTGTTTGTGTACACATGTATACAGAGAGATTTATTAGAATGACTTATAGGCTGCAGTCCAGTTAATCCAACAATGGCTGGCCATGAACAGAAAATCCAAAATTCCAGTAGTTTTTCAGTTCACAAGGCTGGGTATCTCAGCTGGTCTTCTGTATATGTTGGATCCCAAAGAACTAGTCTCCAAAGCCAGTGGAGGAATGGATATATATGCCAGCAGGGCAAGGGCAAGCCAGCAAAGAGCAAAAGTCTTCCAGCAGAAGGTGTGGCCCAGATTAAAGGTGTGCCTTCCAACCTCAAGATCTGGATCAAAAGTGTGTGTCACCCTGCCTCAAAAGTCTGGACTAGAAGTGGATTCAGCCTCTTCAAACCAAGCAAAAATAATATCTCACTGATGTGCCCTCATTTCTGTACTGTAGTTCATTCCAGATGTGGTCAAGCAGACAACCAAGAATTGCCAGCACAGATGTTCTCAGGCACTGTCCACCTTGAGACCATTTCTTCTGGGCCTCGGTCTCACCGGGATGCTGGCCACTGAGCCCCACTACAATTGCCCTCCTTTCTATAGGGAGTAGATGAACTCAAGTCTGTGTGCTTTCAAAGTGTGCAATCACTTTCCAGACTGAGCCATCTCTGCAGCACCAATTAAAATACTTCTACACCTTTAGGAGCAAGAGTGTAGCTCAGTTGGTATGGTGGCTGCCTACATGAAAAAAGACCCTGGGTTCAAAACCCAGCACTGCAACACTGAAGACTCCATTAGCAAGCCACACACACACACACACACACACACACACACGCGCGCGCGCGCGCGCCTATGCACAATGGATGCTGAGCAAAAACTTCACCCAAATATTCATTCTGACACTTGGATCAGGTAGTGCATGAACTTCCTGTCAGTGTGTGCTCTGTAACTGTGTTTTTGTCTTCATGGAAGTCGTGTAAAATCCAGTGTCTGACCTATGGTGTCACCTACCACACAACTAGCACAAGATAAATAAATAATTTGGAGAGCCCTGAATAATCGAGGGGTTGTGAGGAAAGACATTTGTATGACAAAGCGCCAAAGCAAGAAGGTTCTGTTTTAAGGGGAAGGGACTAGCCTAGACATTGCCATGTGAAGGCCTGGAACTCAGAGATCCACTTGCTTTGTCTCCCCAGTGCTGAGATTAAAGGTCTGCACCACCACGCCCACCTCCCAAGCAAAAAGCTCTGAAGGCTTTAAAAGTACTCAGGAAGCAGAGGCAGATGGATGTCTGTGAGTTCGAAGCCAGCCTGGTCTTCAACGCAAGCTCCAGAACAGGCTCCAACGCTACACAGAGAAACCCTGTCTCGAAAAGCCAAATTAAAAAAACAAAAGTTCTGACCGGAAAGTAGTGGAACCGCTCTGGCAGTGAAGGGAACAGAGTCTGAGCCACGAGGATTCTGTCTTCCAATTGGCCCTTTTTGTCCAGTCTGGAAAAGTCAAAGTCCTCCAGGGGCCAAGGGGGAGCTGCGCGAAAGTCGGTCTCCAAATTGACTTTGGCGCGCGTCGGGCACCGCTTCCGCCCAGAAGCATTTCCGCCCCATCGCGCGACACACTTCCGAGTTCCAACTGCGCACGTGCATCCGCTGCTCAGTGCAGCCGGCTGGAGAGGCTCGGCAACATGTCGCACTTACAGATGAAACTCCTGCGCAAGAAGATCGAGAAGCGGAACGTCAAGCTGCGGCAGCGGAATCTGAAGCTGCAAGGTGAGCTGTGCTGAATCCCGAAACTCCGCCGTGCGACCGGGCAGCTTCTGGCCCGCGCCTGGGACGCGCAGCCGAGCAGGCCGCCTGGGTCTCAGTCCCCGTGGGCCTTTCATTGGTCCCAGCCTTTGCTCCCGTGGGTTTCTCCGATCAGGGTCGGGGCACGAGGCCTGGGGCTTGCTTCCCAGGCTCCTGCTGGCTGGGCATCCGGCAAAACCTAGCTGTGTCCCTTCATCTTAGACGCCCCTGTCCCCTGTGGGCTCCACGTAGAACTTTAGACCTAGGTACCATGCGTTTCCGTACCCGACTTCTACTGAATTGCTGGATCTCATCTCCCGCCCAAGCTTAGGAACTTTTTCCCCCTCGGCGCTTTCCCAGCAGTGATACTCCTTTCCTCTACCGTCGGTTCAAGCCCGTTCTCTTCATCCCTGCAGCGATCCTCGTCACTTGTTAAACGCAGAACCCTCCCCGGCTTCTTGTCACACCCAAATTAGTTTGTAAATCCCTTAACGTCTTGGTTTTGGCACAACGACTTACATGCAAAGTTGACACAAAATATTGCTTTTCTTGATGCAGTTTCTGTAGCTTTTTACCTGTAGGATACAGGTCAGTGGTCCCTAAACTTCCTAATGCTTCCTAATTATTTTCGTTGCTGCTTCATAACTGTCATTTTGCTTCTGTTATGAATCATAATGTAAATATCTGATATGCGACTCTTTGAGGGTCGCGATGTACAGATGGAGAATCGCTGGATAGATGCTCTGGGAAGTGCTGGGGGCTTATTGTCACATCCCACATAATATTCAACAGATAGCAACTGAAAGAAAAACCTAGAGGGGGGGATAGGTTTGAGGTAAGTTCTTTGATTTAGTTCTGTAGAATAATTAGCACCAATTTTAGTAGCTACTTGGTGCGGGTAATGTAAACTAAAGGTAGTGTCGCTTTCATCCTCCTTTTTTTCTATGTACAGGGAAACTTTGTAAATGTAGTTTGGGGCTTTAATAGGGCAAGCAAGTGATTTTCATTAACTGAATTTTCAGTTCTCCAGAGTCTAGGAGAGTTGAGTTTGAATGATGTGAAATTATATACGCAATAGTTACAGGAAGTAAATGTCATCCAGTTATGTTTATCAAATACTTAATGTTAAAACTGTATGTCTTCTCGTGGCTGTTTTCTAATTCCATTGTTGGCATTTCCTGTCACAGACTTCTGTATATCCTTAAACAGATAAGTCCCTTTTTTATTTGTTTGTTTAATTTTTGGGGTTTTGTTTTTGTTTTTTTTTTTTTTCCCCAGGGTTTATTTGTGTATCCCGGGCTGGCTGTCCTGGAACTTGCTTTGTAGATCAGGCTGACCTGGAACAAATGGAGATCCACCTGCCTCTGCCTTCCAAGTGCTGGCATTAAAGGCATGCACCATAACACCTAGATGAGACAAGGTCTTTTGAAGTTAAAATAAATCGACTCTCCTTTCCTGACCTCCTCCCACCCCCATCCTTGTTTCCTAAAGAAAGCAGGGCCTTTTCTATGCAGGTGGTTTCAGCTGTGAACTCAGAAGGGAAACTAACTGATGGGGTTCCAGACCCCGTGGAATTTCTCCCTTCGAGGCCAGTTTATAAGGAAGCTTGCTCTTCCTTGTCACAATGTGAGTTCTGTGTTTTTAAACAGAAGCATCAGACCCAAGCGTATCACAGCCTCAGAATGGAGATGTGCCTAAAGAAGGGAAAGCTAAGAAGGCCAAAAAGCATTCTGTGAGTGCGGGCTCAGCGGAAGCACAGAGTGGAGGCCTGCCTGAAGAGACAGTGGGACACTCGGAAGCTAAAAACTCACCGCAGAAACCTACCACTTTAACGAATGGAGAGACAGCCGCGACTCCATCTCCTGACTCAGAACCGAAGAAGAAAAAGAAGAAGAGAAAGAGGAAAATGGCAAATGATGCGGGACCTGGTAGGCTTGTTTTGAGTATGGGCCATTCAGATAGCTTTCTAGGCTGCTGTCCTCATCCCTCCATGTGTGCTTACAGCTTCCTGGTGTGCACCAGCCTATGAGAGATCAGCCTGGCAACTGCATTTTACTGGTAGAGAAGGGAGCTACATCTTAGTTTTTTCCCCCAAATTTGTCTCATGTTTTTAAATTCTCTCACTGCAGGAAAAAACTCACACTTAGTAATAATTTCTTTAGATTTATAATACTCTACAAAGGACTGGGGGAAACAGTTGGGCTTTTTAAATAAACTGAGTATATCTTGGCAAGCATTTTGCATATTTGAGTTTCAGAACTTTAACACTTTAGTCTGGGCTGGTGATGGGAAGTATCTCTTTGGTCTTAATTATATGAAGGTACTTGCTAATTTTATAAGGTGCCTCTTAACTTACTTGTCTTTTGCCCGTGTATTTTCTGTAACTCCTCTCCCCCATAAGGAGGCTTCCTTGCAGAGCATATAAAATAACATGTAGAAAAGTTGTGAACAAATAGAACACTGATTTCCAAGTGTGTAGAAAGGACAGGCAGGGTTTGAAGAGCAGGAGGATAGATGAGGATAGTAAATTCTGGTGAAGGGGTGAGCCTCTTGTTGAGATGTGAACAGATTGAGATGGTTGGGAAAGCCAGGTCAGCAACCCCTCCAGCTCACTTGAACCTGGTGTGCAATGCTTAAGAGTCATGGGTAGAATCTACTGAACTGTAGCCGAGCCATCCTGTGAAAGTTGAGAAGCTAGAAGGCTCTGCCTCTCCTTCCCCACAGCCGTCCAGTCTCTGTCATCCAGCTAAGGAACCGAAGCCCTTGCTTTAGTCTTAACTGTCTGTGGGAATGTGAAGAACCCCGAGCTTTTAGTAGTGTTCACGTTCAAAGCAGAAGTGACTTGCAGAAATGTAATGGCATGAGGAGAAAATGTTGGTGTTTGTATGAATTTAATTTAAAATTGCTTCAATTGCACATGTGCCACTTTTTTCATAAATTGTGGAGCTGCCCTGATATTACTTAGTGGGACTCAAAAATGTCTTTTTAAGGATAGGGAAACACTTTAAGAAACTTTAAAGCATTGTTTTGCTTGCAAGTCATTTCTACCCCCAAATTTTAAATCTTGAGCAAGACTCTTCCTGAAAAAAAGTTTCTAACAAATAAATGTTGAATGGTGTTAAACTTTGAAAAATATTTCTTTACATTATAAATCTTTTGTTTTGAAGGGGTTTTATTTGTTTACTTTTTTGTTTGTTTGTTTAAAACCAAGACACCAAGAAAGCAAAACCGGCAGAAAGCACTGGGACTCAAGAGGAAGCAGAAAGTGGCGGGGAGAAGCCGAATGACAGGGAGGTGCCCAGCCTGCCCCTGGGACTGACAGGTACAACTGCCACTCTCCTCTGTTGCTGTTGAAGGTTCCACCGTGACTTTTAATCACCAGGGAAAATTAATTAACAGCAAGCGATGATTTTTATAGCTTTGTGCTGTTTTTCTTTATCTTCGACTTTGTGATACCAAGGCACTATTTCCATGTTTGTTGGTTTGGTTTTTTTTTTTTTTTTTTTTTTCTAATATTTATATGGTTTCTAGATAGAACAATAAATTCTAATCTAAATTCTTGATATTTAAGAATCACAGAAACTGAGTCTGTGAAACCTTATATTCCTCTCTGCTCCTTTTCAACCTCCTGGGTGGGATTAAAGATGTGTGACTCCCACGGGCTGAGATTCAAGGTGTGAGCTACCACTGCCGGGCTCTGTTTCTCATTTAGACCAGGGCAGCCTTGTGTAGCCCAGGGTAGCCTTGAACTCACAGCAATCCATCTGCCTCTGCTCCCAAGTGCTGGGATTAAAGGTGTGTGCCACCACCGCCTGGCCTCTGTGGCTAACTGGTGGCTTGGCTCCACACTCTGATCTTCAGGCAAGCTTTATTTGGTAAAGAACAAGCAAAGTATCGGCACACTGAGCCATCTCTCCAGCCCAGTGTTTACACTTTGATTTCTCCGTGGGCTACTTCCTCATTACTACCAGGTTAATGCTCCAGCATTAGTCTCTTCTTACTGTAAAACGCTCTAAGATTGGCTCGGATTAGGCAGCTGTGAGGGCACTCACTGTAAACAGACCAGCTTGTTGACCGTAAACAATCTTCCATGTAGGCGCTTTTGAGGACACTTCCTTTGCATCCTTGTCTAACCTTGTCAATGAGAACACTCTGAAAGCTATAGAAGAAATGGGCTTCAAGCGCATGACTGAGATCCAGCATAAAAGTATCAGGCCACTTCTGGAAGGCAGGTACGGTTGACATTGATACTGGGACATCTGTGTCTGCTCTTAAGACGGGAGCTATGAAAGAAATGCATGTGTATCCCTCTGCTTTTGTTCTCTGGATTCACGCCTGGCTTACGTTAAAGTCTTGAGTTACTTGCTAGTGTTTGAAGAAAAGTGTAGCAGTCTTCCTTTGTGAGTGGGGTGCATCGAAGGTGTCTAGGCAGGGACTGTCTGTGCTTTGGAATTGTCACTTAGTGCCTGGAACCTGCTCATAGCTCATGGCGGCTGTTCGGTATGCATCTGCATGAGTCGAATGAATGCCCTTCTCTTCTGCAATACTCAGGGATCTTCTGGCAGCCGCGAAAACAGGGAGTGGTAAAACCCTCGCTTTCCTCATCCCCGTGATCGAGCTCATTGTCAAGTTGAAGTTCATGCCTAGGAATGGTGAGCGTCTTATCTCTTTCTGCTGTAATTAGCAGGAGAGCCTCCTGAGGACTTGTGGAGATGTCCTTCTGTCGCCCTTTGCTTTTTAGGAACAGGAGTCCTGATTCTCTCTCCTACCAGAGAACTGGCCATGCAGACCTTTGGCGTTCTAAAGGAACTGATGACACACCATGTCCACACGTATGGGCTGATCATGGGTGGCAGTAACAGGTCTGCTGAAGCACAGAAGCTCGTCAATGGCATCAACATCATCGTGGCCACCCCAGGCCGGCTCCTAGACCACATGCAGAATACTCCGGGGTTCATGTACAAGAACCTCCAGTGTCTGGTTATTGATGAGGCTGATCGTATCTTGGATGTCGGGTTTGAAGAAGAATTAAAGCAAATTATTAAACTTTTGCCAGGTGAGTAATCGTCATCTGCATGGGGCTCACAGAATAATTAGCGGTCTGTGGTTGGTGATCGTGTAGGAAAAATAGTTTTAATACCAGAATTTCACTGTGGCTATGTGAGGAATTTGTACCTGTCAACTTCAGAAGTACTCTGAAGTGCCTCAAACTTCTGCTGACTTCTCACAGAACATTACCATTTCATAAGCGAAAATGCAAGCTTAATGGTTTTACTGTAAAGATTCCTTGTAAGAGTTGAGCAGTTGGGCTGAGTCCCTGCTCCCTGCCATCCCTTCTCACCATGTAAGCTTCTGTGTTCTGTTCTTGGCTGAGGTCTGTCTACATGATAAATTGCTTCTGTTTATAGTAATGCTAGGATCCTGTACCTTGTACAGTGCCGTACTGAGATACATAATTGACAGAAGAAACCTATGTTATTAGCCAGCCAGGTCATCCCTGAGACCTTCACTCCAGAGAGTTTGACCCCAGAGCTACATGAGACTCTGCCTCAGAAAACTGGCCGAGTGCCTAGAGGGTGGCTCAGCAATTAAGGACACATACTGCTCTTGCAGGGGACCCAGGTTTGGTCCTCATCACCCACATCACATGGCCACCACCTGGAGGCACCTTAGTTAGTACGCAGACACACATAATTTAAAAATAATGAGTAGACCATTCAAATTAAAATCTGTGGGTTTTTTTTTTTTTTTTTTTTTTTTTGATGTTCTAACATGTGTAGCCCTGGAAAATCATTACTGCAAGCGAGATGGTGGGCATGTCCTCGCCCCAAAAGTTCATGCCCACTTGCAGCCAGCCCCCACCCCCATACAGCTGTTCACCTGCTTTCTCTGTCCTCAAACATGAGCCTACATTTTCTAAATCTGGTAGCTTCTTTTAGATTCTCAGTGACGCTGCATTCTGAGTACTGTATGTTTTTTCATTTCAGCTGTTGACAGTTTGATGCTGTTAGTTGTAGACATTTCCTATAAGTGATCACTTCCAGGAATTCCTACTTAAAGTGGAAGCATCAGGTGACTGTGAGATTGTTTGGGAGGTTTGGGTTATTTTTTGTGTTGTTTCAGTCCGCAGGCAAACCATGCTCTTTTCGGCCACACAAACTCGAAAAGTTGAAGACTTGGCAAGAATTTCCCTGAAAAAAGAGCCATTGTATGTGGGTGTTGATGACGATAAAGAGGTTGCCACCGTGGATGGGCTTGAGCAGGTACTGTTATCCGTAAATAACTAAAGCCCGATAAAGACAGAGCAAGTGGATTGGCAGGCCTAAATGGGAGCAACAGACATGGGTGTGGGGTCTGTGGCTTAAGTATACAATACCGTGAACTCAGTGTCCCGAGCCTCTTTGTTGGTGCTGCTTTCTATGTAGGAAGCATTATCGGTTGCTGCTGATTTTCAGTGCAGCTAGAACTTGCTTTTAATAATCTCCATAAAGTGCAAGGGAAGTTGGGAGAGAGAGAGTAGGCTACCCTGGAGGGAGCAGGAGCATTGCTGTGCAAGATAGGAAAGAGGTGCCAGGTCTAACTGAGTTAATGAAAACAAGATTAGTCTTAAAAGTGTGTGTGTTTGTGAGAGTGAGTGTGCACATGCCTGTGATACCGGATGTCTTCCTGAGCACTCACCATTGGAATATTGGGGAGGGTCTAATTCATTTACCATTGGAATATTGGGGAGGGTCTAATTTGAACCCAGGGCTTGCAGACTCAGCTAATCTAGCTAGCCAGCTTGCCCCATTAATCCCATCTCCTGAGCATTGGGATTACATATTGGCTGCCACACTTACCCAGCATTTACATGGGTGCCTTTTGGTCCTCAGCCCTTTACATGCTGAGTTGTCTTTGTAACCCCAAGGTAAACTCTTGACAAGTAAACAGTTCTGTATAATTGGAGTTGATGAAGTCCTTAAATGTGGCAGAAAGGCCTTATGGTACATTGTTATGTCCAAACACTTTGGCTTAGTGAAGCTGGAAATGCGTTTTATCTGTTCATTTGTACCATTTCAGGGATATGTTGTGTGTCCCTCTGAGAAGAGGTTCCTTCTGCTCTTCACATTCCTTAAAAAGAACCGGAAGAAGAAGGTGATGGTCTTCTTTTCCTCGTGTATGTCCGTGAAGTACCACTATGAGCTACTCAACTACATTGACCTGCCTGTCTTGGCCATCCATGTAAGTGGTGTGGTGAGCGTGTTGAGGAATGGCTTAAGCCTGTGAAGCTCTGTGCACTGGAGGAGTGGTTGACCTCCCAGCAGATGATCGGTGGTGTGGGGGTAGGGGACAAGGATCTGAGAGCAGCTGTGACTGAACAAGATTGGACGTTGGGAGGGACTGACTCTAGTGAGGGTCGATGGGAAGCTAATGGTTGTTAGAGAGACGTCTTCAGTGGTGTAGCACTGGTTGAATGCCCATGTGCCTCTCACTTGTGCTCTTGTAAGGGTATTGGATCACAGGCAACGTGAAAGGGGAAGGGCATTGGTTGGGGGAGGAAAGAATCTGCAGGAGGGGGGCGGGGACAGGGGAGGGTAATGGCGTCGGTGTGATCACAGTTGTGATAGTTCACAGGAAACTCGTAACTAAACACAAGTAAACGCAGGCTAATAAAATCTGTAAACGAGTACTAAAGAGGGAGCGAGAGAGACACCCTCGCTCTCATAAGGCTTGGGGTCCAGGTGGGGACGTAGGGCCTGGGCCAGTGTAGACTTGAACTAAAGTGCGGTGGCTCCACAGTTGACTGGTTCTACATTCAGCTCTCACAAACAACCTGAACGGGTTTGTGCTCTTGTTGCTTTTGAACCTAGGGAAAGCAAAAGCAAAATAAGCGAACAACCACGTTCTTCCAATTCTGCAACGCAGATTCAGGGATACTGCTGTGCACAGATGTGGCGGCCAGAGGACTGGACATCCCTGAAGTGGACTGGATTGTTCAGTATGACCCTCCTGATGACCCCAAGGTATGGTGTCTTCAGAGTGGATCTATGCGAGGGACGCCTGGTGCCCAGAGAGAAGCATGTCATTTCACATCCATGACACTTACCTGTATGGGACGGCCATTCGGTCAGCTGTAGGAACTGGTGTTAATAAGTGTCAGGGACCTTGCGGGGCCAAGAGGGGTGTGTGCAAAGAGGTTTGAGGGGTGTTGGTGACTTTAAGTTAGGAATGTGAGATCCCTGAACTGATGTGTCCAGTGGTGTGTGAAGGAAATAGCAGTGTATACGACAGTAGGTAAAAGTCAGTAATGTCTGTAGTAAGATAGGTCCCTGTGTTAAGGCCAGGCCTGGTAGAGTGTATCTGTAACCCCAGCGGTGGCAGGAGGAAGGAGGGCGAGGGAGACAAGTGGGTTCTGCAGGCCACCTAACTAAAAGAGCAAGCTCCGGGTTCAGTGAGAGATCGGCCGGCCTCGAAAGACACGGTGGAGAACGATAGAGTAAGACGCTTGGCTCATACCTCTGACTTCCACACATGCATGCATGGACCATTCATGAAAAGAGTGCCTTCAGTAAGCAGTGAGATGCACTCACTTATTGGTCACTTATTGGCTAGCATTGAAACACGATTTTCGTAGGAAGTGACTTTGAAGATGAACTATATCTAATAGCTACCTTAGTAGGTCAGCGTTGATGGGACTTACACGGTGTTGGTGTGGCTGGAGTGTGTAGCTTCTCTTGTCTTGGGGCTTTGCCCTGTTAAGGGGTGGAATCTGCAGAGGGGATGCTGGCCCAGTGTGCAGCGATTGTGGTGAAGGTGAAGTTGGCCCTGCCCTGTGATCGCTATATATAACCATCTTATACAGGTGTCCGTCCTGGCATGCTTCCTTCAAAATGCTGGTTGTGGATTCGTGAAGAGGTCATAACCCAGCTTTTCTTGCCTTGCCACAGGAATATATCCATCGTGTGGGTAGAACGGCCAGGGGTCTGAATGGAAGAGGGCACGCCCTGCTCATCCTACGCCCTGAAGAATTGGGTTTCCTTCGTTACCTGAAGCAATCCAAGGTAAAGGCCTTTTGTTGGGAAGCCCTAAGTTGGGAGGAAACTCCTCTTGCTGTGAGGGTTCTTCTCAGGTACCATCTCCATGGATGGCCGAGTAGGGGCTGACTGAAGTTGTGGCTGTCAAAACAGGTGCCGCGGGTCACTAGGGAAGACAATATGTGCTCCTGGCCCAGGAGGCCGCGACCGAAGGGACCGGCCCATGGCCCAGTCCCCAGCTCTGTTCCCTCTATCTGTTGGGGCTCTCCTTTCCAGTTCTCTGCAGCCCCGTTCCACCCTGCCTGCTCCCCCTGCAGCCTGCTGTGTGGATCTCTGAAGAGCAGCAGGCCTGTACTCCCCTGTGCCAGCCTCCTCCTCCCTTGGCTCTGACTCTTGTGACCCCAGTGCTTTACCATCTCAAGTCTCCCCGTGCAGCTCTGCTTCGGCCCTCGCCTCTGCCTCCTGCGGCGGCTCCCTTCCGTCAGGGCTGACCACGGCCCTGCCTCTGCTCCTCGGCCTGTGTTTTTGGGCATGTGCCTTGTATATTTTTCTGGTCGCCATTTGCTCAATCCCCTACTTACCTGACTTTGCCCCTATCCCAGCTTGCCTGAGCCAAATACATCCAGACTACACTTGGCCTCCTTGTTGATAGGCCTGCTGAGTGCATGGCAGGCCTGCTTGTCCCTGACACTGGCCCTGTGACACACTCCTGGCAAGGTCTCACTTACCGCATGAATTTTCCTTTTCCTATAATGAGGTACAGTTCCCTCAAGCTGCCCAGAGGCCTCTGTACCCTCGCCTAGCTGCTCTTCCTGGATCTCCACAGGACACTGGTTTTGGTGGGTTGTCTGATCTCTAGCGCTCTGCTCCCAGCATACAAATGTTCCATCACTTACCTGCATGCTCTGTGGGACCTTAAGCATTCTGTCTGGGCTAGTCCTTGCAACCCTGTTTTCTTCCCCTGTCTATAGCACAAACACAGGAAATGGGTAGTAACTGATGGATCCTTGGGGGAGCTATATCATTCAGGCATGGGCTTGGTCTCATAGGCGTCAGACACGAGGCAGAGTGGTACAGAGAAAAAGCAGCAGTCATCCCTGGCGTGGGCTACACACCTGGCACCCAAGAAACAGGCAGGAGGGTCTCAGCAAGTTCAAGGCCTGCCAGGACTACGTAGTGAACCCCTGTTGGGGAAAAAGGAAAAGAGAATGTAGCCATTTGCCACCCTGAATGCCAGCGTCTGGGAGATCCTAGGGAAAGCCTCAGCAGCCGCTTGCCTCTGCTCATTTCCTCACCTCAGCGTTTGAGGCTCCCCACGCAGGAGTCAGGCTAACTCAGCAGGGCAGAGACGGAATGCCCTACTGACAAGAAGGCATCTCTCTCCAGAACCACTGCCCTTTGCTGTCATCACTACTGACAGGACACTTCACCTTTCGTATAGCTAAAACTGGGAGCCCTCTTACTGACATTTGGACTTCTCTTTCTCTAGGTTCCACTGAATCAGTTTGACTTCTCCTGGTCTAAAGTGTCTGATATTCAGGCTCAGGTATGCGTTTTGTTTGCGTGAAGTATCTTCTGGGGACCAGGTCGCCTGTCCCAATACTGCCTTACAGAGTTTTGGGGCCACTCCCCCAAGCTCCCGCCTACTCGTGGATGATGCTGGCTTGGGCTCTGGGCTCCTTAAGGTTTCCTTCTGCCTGCCTTCCCAAGAGTTCAAAGCTAAGTCAAGTGTACTAGGACGAGTGTTTCTGTGGGATAACTGTAGTGGCTGATGTCTGCCCTTTTCTTTGTTTCAGCTGGAAAAGCTGATCGAAAAGAACTACTTTCTCCATAAGTCCGCACAGGAAGCTTACAAGTCCTACATACGAGCCTATGACTCCCACTCGCTCAAGCAGATCTTCAATGTGAACAACTTAAATTTGCCTCAGGTGGCTCTGTCTTTTGGTTTTAAAGTCCCTCCTTTTGTTGATCTGAGTATCCTTTTCTTTGTTATTACATTGTGCTGCAATTAAGGGCTTTAGTGGGGCTGTTGGAGCTTAGCAGTGAGTTGGTACAGCTGCCAGCCAAAGGCTCTGGTGCTCATCCCGTGTCTGTCTGTGTGCAGCAGCGTAGGACATGGGACTAGGAAGGGGTCGGCAAGGACTGGTCACTAAGGTGGAAATTACCAGAATAAGGCAGCTCATGATTTAAGTCTCTAAAGAACTTGGAATAGCTTGGTGGGTAAAAGCGTTTTCCCAGCAAGCCTGGCGACCCAGGTTTGACCACCCACCCTCCCCCCCCCAGGACACTCGATGGAAGGAGAGAACCAAACATCTCAAAGTTGTAGCACACTGCATCCATACACATCGAATAATACTGGGGGCAGCCAGGGTATGATTGTCAGTGAAAGATGGGTTGTTGTGCCTTCAGGGTAGAAGCAGAGAGGTGGGAAGTAGCTGGAGAGAGTGGGTAAGAGCTTTCAGGGTTCCCAGTGTTGTATAGCCATCAGAGGGTTAGTATCTACAAAGAAATAACAAGGCTGGCCACAGGAAGCAAGCCTAAGCCTGGCTCCGTCCAGGTAAAGAGCAAAGGAGCCTCCCAGTTGGTCCCATCGCAGTGCCCGTGCGTGCATGCATATTGACTGTATTTTCAGAAGGAAGAACCCACTCTGAAGACTTCAGTGCTGCTACAGTAGCTCGTGAGGGAATTCCTCACGATTGGTTAAAGTCATGCCTGTTGACTTGGTCTACAAGCTCATCCTCAGTCCTGGTCTCCGGCAGGTTCATTGTCCAGCCTCAGCCCCCCATGCCTGCATTTGTCAAGCAGGGAAGTGCACAGGGCTGGTGCTGGCCATGTGGGGCTTTCTCTAATGTGGCCTGTCCTCTTCCTTGTGTGGCTTCCTTAACATTCACCTGTAGACGTGAGCAGCCACGATGGCAAGCTTAAAAAGAGAGGAGGTGGCGGCGGATTCGGCTACCAGAAAACAAAGAAAGTGGAGAAGTCCAAGATCTTTAAACACATCAGCAAGAAGACGACAGACCGCAGGCAATTCTCTCACTGAAGGGGGCGGCCCCCGCCTGGACTGACTTTGCCCTAACTTCCCCTTTCTCTTTAAAAAGGAACCTTTTTTATCACCTTTAGAATCTTCTTGTCTTTACTATGCTGATAGTATTTTATTTTTAAATATTCCCATAAAACAAATCCTATCGTTGTTCTAATGTATTGTATACCTTTCCCTTTTGGTATAAGGAGGGTTGCAGTGATGGAGAAAACGGGCTCTTTTATTAGATCTTAGCAATAACGTGAAGCCCCGGGAATCCCACAAATATATAAGGGCAAAGACTGGTGGGTGTAAATTAGTGCATACCTCTAGTGTTGTCCCTGGGGCTCAGAAGATGTGGATAAAGTGCCCACTGCACAAAGACTAGGACCTGAGTTCAACATACACAAAAAATGTCGAGCATAGCAGTGCGCGTAACTCCAGTGCCGTGGAGCCAGAGACAGGCAGGTCCTGGCCAAACACAATTCCATTTTCAGTGGGAGACCCCATTTCAACAGCAATGTGGGAAAGATATTCCAAGGTAGCTTCTGGCCTCTACAGGTGCACACCTAAACGTGGACAGAAAAGTAGTGCGGCTTTTGTGTATTCCGCAGAGCACACATGCCAGGGAGACATAGGCACCGCCCTGTGATGACTGATGGCCTGTGGGTTTGAAAGAAGACCCTGTCTCAGTGGAATGGCTATCACTCAGACCTCTGCTCCCACACACATACACGTGAAAATGAGAAAATAGGTAATGTTCATTTAGATTCTCCATGTGTAAGAATGGGGTGAACCTCATCCAGCCCAGGATACAGGGGACAAACATGAGCCACCAGCACTCCAAAACTTCATCCTGAACGGTGCTTGGCCTTGGGTCAGAGCTGACTTGGAGAGCCCTGTAAACTGTCCATTGGGATGACAGCTGAAAGTGAACAGAGGTCAAGTCCTTGCTCCCTAGAATGCTCTGTATGGCATTTAAACTACAAAGCTGTAGTTTGTTGTCATTTTTGAAATCCAAAATTGCGGGATGTCACTAAATTCTAGCTACCTTTCTTGAGTTTTTGCTTTTAGTTACCTGTATACATTTTCTGCATGTGTGTGAGTACAGTTACCTTGCAGTCCCTGCAGACAAGACACTAGGGTTGTCTTGGCACACCCCGGGAGGTTGCTTAGCTGATTACTAATGCGGCAGGGAACCGGACTGAATGGTTCTCCTTGGGTTTGGAATTCTTGAGCCCCCCTGTGTAAGTCTCTTAGAGCACCTTGTCTGCCCTGGCCATCTCGGTTTTTTTTTTTTTTTTTTTTTTTTTTTTTTTTTTTGACAGTCTCACTGTGTAGCTCTGCCCGGTGCTTGCTCCGTGGACCAGACTAGCTTCACATTTGCAACAGTACCTCGGCCTCCTGAAGGTTCACATCATGGGCACTCTGCTGTGGCGTTGACCAGCACAGGAAATGGTGTTAATATGTGTAGTCATCCACAAAGCATTGTTATCCTCAGGAGGCAGATGCTCAAGCTTGCTGGAGGGAAGCAGCTGCGCCTTTGATTGAATGTCTTGTGTGGGAAGAAGCACGCTATAAGGCAGCCTGGGATTGCTCAGTAGTGCCCATTCACTCTATGGCTTGGAATCCACACAGGAGATAAAACATTTTCCTTGGCCCTGTGCCCTTTGGAAGGAAGTCATCCCCTCTTGATTCAGCATCCACACCTGTGATGGGAAGGATGGATTTTGGTTTTGAGTTGGTGTGTAGCATCTACACTTCCTGTTTGGGAACCATACTGCTCAAGCCCTGAAGGGCTGCTGAGGCCACCTGAGGTGGTTAATGGTGACAATCCAGTTGGTGGGATTTGGACTCACTGAGAACAGCTCTCAGTGTGACAGCACTATTCCGCCATAGGCTGCAGTCCTGCAATGTTTCAGCCTTCACATCCCTGCCCCCTGGCAGCAGATGCTCCTGCCTTCCCCCACATGGGGCACTGTGCCTCCAACTGTGAGCCACAGTAAACCCTTCCTCTTTAGTTGATCTTGCCAGGTATTTTTTGTCACACCCGTGAGGAAAGTAACAACTCCATCAGAAAAGCAAACAGCTTTCCTGTGACTTGGTCTGAACCAGCCAGGTACATCTGCCCACACTGATTCAGATATAGATTGAAGGAGCAGAAACAAGCATTGCTTCTTTGGGAACAGCTGGTTCCCGCAGAGCATCCAGGCAGCAGCTGAACTTGGCACCCCACTGGCAGCAGACATAGCCACCCACCCTCTTTCCTAAGTATTTTCCAAGCTGGTTCTCTACCGCCATTCAATAGTTTGTCAAACAAGGTGCCCCGTGTCTGTGATCCCAGCCTGCCGGAGGTAGAGACAGGAGTTCAGGGCCATCCTCTGTTACATAGCAAGTTGTGAGGCCAGCCTGGACTACTTGAGAATCTCAAAACAACTAAGATGTTTTTCCAGTTCTCCTTTATTAAATTATTAAAAAAATTTTAGATCTCGTGTAGTCCAGACTGACAGCAAACTGTGGTCATGGCTGACGGTGAACTTCCAATCTTCCTGCTTCCTTCTGGAATGCTAGGATTATAAGCAAGCATCCCACGACTGTTTCAGTGAACTGGGGGGCTCTGCGCACGCTAGACAGGCACTACCCAGCGAGCCACACCACCAGCCCCAGGTTCCTTTTTAATCACTGGCTAAGAACCCAAAGATGCAGCTCTTATGACATGCTTTCTGTCTCTGCCTCTGCTATTTGTGAATTGGTCAGGCAGTTCACTGTATCCCTGCTCTCCGGGGCCATTAATCAGACTGCTTGCTGCATTTTGTTCTCGGGGACCACAGAGCCTAAACTCGGGGAAAGAAATTACTTTCAAGCAGACGGGTTTGGGAACATCTAGGCCAAGTACATAATCAAAGGAAGCACGTGAGGGAAGCTCATCCTGGAACAGCCTGCCTGGGTCTAAAAGCTTCAAGGGCATTAGGGAGTGGGGATGTTGCCACTCCTCCATGGGGAGTATCAATAATCTGGAGAAGGGCAGAGCAGAGAATGTCACAGCTTCCAGGACAGCTTCTCCGGATCCTGGGAGAGCCTACAGTGAGACATTGAGCAAGTGACTACCCCTCTCTGGGCCAGCTGTTCATCCACAGGAAGGCAGGAAGGGAGGTCCAGGGATCGCATGCACGGTCAAGCCATGAGCTCACAGAAAACAAAGCTGTGGATATCAGCAGTCAAACAAAAGGTCCTGCCCCTCACACCCACTCCGCATGAAGCCTACTTTAGGATGCTTTAGGCTAAGAAGCTGCCAAAAGAAACCTTCTTGGGGGCTGGGGAGATCCACATGGTTCAGTGGGTAGAGGCACTCTCCACCAAGCCTGATGATGGGAGTTTGGTCCACATAACCCACAGGGCCCAAGGAGAGACCCAACTCTTACACATTATTCTCTGATCTCAACAAGTGTGCTATGGTACATTGCACTCTCTTGTGCAGTCATTTTTTGAAGTAGTCTTTTTTCAATACTACCAGTTCCCCCATGTTGCCAGCAGAGGGCCTCTGAGATATGCCCAAACCAAAGAGGACAGCTACCTTGATAGGCCTAGCCTGCTGGCTGGGCAGGGGCAACTTGGACCTGAAACAGTGGAGCTTTTATTTGTCTTTGTAGGGAGGCACAAAGCAGTAAAAGACCTGAACGACATACTGCCAGGCCCTCTCATGTTTAGAGCTGTTGGAGAAATGAATCTGACCCTATGCTGACCAGGCTCTGAGCTAAGTAAGGCCTTGAGCATCTCTGATCTTCCTGCATCATTCAAGAGCACCAGGATTGCAGGTATGTGCCATCACACCTGGTTTTCCTGAGCTAAGCCTTTCCTGAGCCTTGCCTTCTCCAAGCACCTGAGCAAACCTGACAGCCATGGTCTCATCCTAGTGCTAATAAGGATTTAACACAAACTAGAAGAGGCCATACATAACCCATACATAACAGCTAATGAGTGTCCTGGCCCGAATCCACCCCAGAGCTGAAATTCTTCCAATCTGATGAAAGCTAACTGAGGTGGCCTGTTGTCCTCCATTCTTCCTGTAGAAAAATGATGGCTGAATCCAAAGACACAGGCAGGGGAAGTCACAAGAACCAGAGTCCAGATGTAGGGCTGTGTGTGAAAGCAAAGACCAAAGGCTTAGCCTCAAGCTGATGCTGCATAGAGCTGCTGACAGCAAACCAGACACCACAGCAGCAATGCCCTTGACCTCACTCTCATAGCATGTATTTGAGCATCTGAGAAGAGTCTGGGGGTGCAGGAGCATCACAAGTTCAAGACCAGCCTCATCTATTTAGTGAGTTACGAAACCAAATAATGGTTTTCATACTGGATTGCCCACATGGACACACTGCGATCTTGGGATCTTTATGAGGCTAAAAGAGTAAGGGGCCAGCCAGGTGTCTGGATAAAGGCACTTGCTGCCAAGCCTGATCACCAGGATTTCATCCCTGATCCACCCAGATGGTGGGAGGAGAAAACCAGCTCCCACAAGTTGTCCTCTGACCTCTACACACATGTACTTCTCACACATACAAAAAAAATGTATAAGTAAATAATTTTCAAATCAAGGTCAGAACACAAGATAAAACACCAGAGAGATTTGAAGGATGGCACAGCTGGCTTTGAATAGATAGATAGGACCCCGGCCATGCAGTGTCTGCTCTAGAGCTGGAGCAGGCAAGGAAGCAGGCTCTTCTCAACACCGCTGGAAGTTCAGATCTTCTGACTATGGGATAGGATTGTGTGTGTGTGTGTGTGTGTGTGTGTGTGTGAGAGAGAGAGAGAGAGAGAGAGAGAGAGAGAGAGAGGGAGGGAGGGAGGGAGGGAGAGAGAGAGAGAGAGAGAGAGAGAGAGTGTTTATATGTGAAGGTGCATGAATCAAATATTGCTTTTGGAGATAGGGTGTCCCAGCGTACAGAAGGACATCCCCCATCAATAGGGGCTTTCACTGAACCTTGAGATGAGTGATCTGATGGACTGGCTAGCCAGTGAACTCCGAGATCTGCTTGTCTATGAACCCCTCCCACTGTGCATCATGCTCTTGTGTGTGTGTGTGTGTGTGTGTGTGTGTGTGTGTGTGTGTGTACCATCACATGCATGTGGAGGTCAGAGATAACTAGAGAGAGTCAGTTCTGT